TGGAATACTATGCAGCTATAAAAAGGAATGAGATCATGTCCTTTGTAGGGACATGGATGAAGCGGGAAGCCATCATCCTCAGCAAACTAACACAGGAACAGAAAACCAGACATTACATGTTCTGACTCTTAAGTGGCAGTGAACATTGAGAACACATAAACATAGAGAGGGGAATAACATAGACCAGGTCCTGTTGGGGGGTTGGGGGTAAGGGGAGGGAACTTAGAGAATGGGTCAATAAGTGCAGCAAACCACCATGGCACACGTATACCTATATAACCAACCTGCACGTTCTGCACACGTATCCCGTTATTTTTTAGAATAAAGAAAAAGAATACACGATCAATGATGAATCTCTGAGAAAAAAATGTTTTTAATTCTTTAAACATCTTTAATTTTTAAAACATATTTATAATAGCTGCTTTGTGGCTATTTTAAATAAGCAACTATTAAAGAGCCAAATGTGGCCAGGCCTGGTGGCTCATGCCTGTAATCCCAGCACTTTGGGAGGCCAGAAGTTCAAGATCAGCTTGGGCAACATGGTGAAGATCCCTTACCTAAAATTAAAAATTAATAATAATTAGCCAGGTATGGTGGCATACACCTGTAGTCCTAGCTACTTGGAAGGCTGAGGAGGGAGGATCACTTAAGATCAGGAGTTCAAGGCTGCAGTGAGCCATATTGCACCACTGTACTCCAGCCTGGGAGGCAGAGTAATACGCTGTCTCAAAAAAAGGGCAAATATAATATTTTTGTATCCATTAACCATTAACCAACCACTCTAGTATAGAAGGATAACAATAGTTAATAATAATTTGTTGTAAAGTTCAAAATTGCTGGAGGAAAGAAATTGGAATGTTCCCAATATAAAGAAAGGGTGAGTGTTTAGGGTGATAGATGTCTCAGGTACCCTGGTCAATCATTACACATTGCATTCATATATCAAAATACATGTATCCCCAAAATATGTACAACTATTATGCATCAATAAAAAGCCAAATGAAAATTCTAGAGTCAGAAATGAAATGAAAATTCCTAGATAGGCTAGACAACAGAATTGAGATAGCAGAAGGATCAGGAAACTTACAGATAGGTCAGAATTATCCAATACCAATATGAAAAACGATAAGAAGAATGCCCAATGCCTCAAAGACCTGTGACACAATTGAAAGCACATTAAAATACATGAAAGCCCCAGGAAGAGGAAACAAGGGCAGAAAAAAATAACTGAAGAAATAATGGGCCAGACACGGTGGCTCAATGTGTAATCCCAACATTTTGGGAGGCCAAGAAGGATAGATCATCTGAGGTCGGGAGTTAGAGACCCGTCTGACCAACATGGAGAAACCCCGACTCTACTAAAAATACAAAATTAGCTGGACATGGTGATGCATGCGTGTAATCCCAGCTACTTGGGAGGCTGAGGCAGGATAATCTCTTGAACCCAGGAGGCGGGGGTTGTGGTGAGCCAAGATCACGCCACTGTACTCCAGCCTGGGCAACAAGAGCAAAACTCCATCTCAAAAGAAAAAAATTATAGAGCAATAATTCTAACACTGCAATACACACACACACACACACACACACACACACACACACACACATAAAATATAACACAGAGGAGGAACAAGGAAATGAAACTAAACTAGGGCAAAGTTTAGCTTTTTTACTAGAAGTTACTAACTTTTTTACCAGAAGTTAGTCAATATTCATCTTAAGTAAGCTGTAATAAGTTAAGATACCTATGGTAATAACTAGAGACATCACTTAGAAAATAGCTCAAAAATAGTTTAAAAAAATTAAAATGGTACCCGCATAAATATTTGTTTAATGTAGAAGAAGACAATAAAAGAGCAATCCAATAACAAAAGATATACAGTAACCAAATGGCAAAACTGAAGATGCAAACCGAACAAAATTATAGTAAATTTTAATGGACCCAACACTCCAAAGCTTCTCTGACTGAATTTAAAAAAAAAAAAAAAAAAAAAAAAAGACATGTCATGCAAACAGTAATCCTTGGAGAGCTGGAGTGGCTGTAGTAATTATAGACAAAATGGACTTCAAAACAAGAAAGATAGTAGAGACAAATAGGGATTTTTTAAAATAATAAAGGGCCAATTCATCAGAAAGAGTTAACAGATATGAAGGTATATATACCTAACAACAAAGCTTCGAAATACATGAAGCAAAAAACAGAATTGAAAGAAAAAAAATAGTTTAACAATGACAGTCAGAGACTACAGTATCTCACGCTTAATAACCAGTTGAAAGTAGGAAGAAAATTAGCAAGGCTATAGCAGATTTGAAGAATCCTAGCAACCACCTTGAACTAACATTTTGAACACTCTATCAGAAAAGAGCAGAATATCTATTCTTTTCAGGTGCATGTGAAACATTCCAGGATAGGCCATATGCCAGGCCACAGAACAAGTCTCAAAAAATTTAAAAGGTTTGAAATCAAAGTATATTCACCACCAACAAATAAAAATAACAAAGAAATTTGGAAAATCTGTAATTCTTAGAAATAAAGTAACATGCTTCTAAATAATCTGTGGGTCAAAACAAGAATCGCAAAGGAAACTTGAAAATATTTTGAACTAAATGAAAACAACAATAAAACATATCAAAATATGAGGTGCAACCTAAAACAGTGCTCAGAGAAATTCAGAGCTTTAAATATCTATATCAATAGAGAACACTTTCATATCAATAAACCACTTCAAGAATAAATAATGAAGAGTTAATTATACATAAAGCAAGGAGAAGGAAGAAAATAAAATCAGAGGGGAAAATTAATGAAATTGGAAGCAGAAAAACAAGAGAAAAGTGAAGAAACCAAAAAAAGTTCTTTGAGGGGAAAAAAAGTCAACAAACCTGACAAACCTTTAGATAGACTGACTAAGAAAAAAATGAGATGACGTAGAATACCAAAATCAGGAATGAATGGGGGACATCATTATCAAGCCTACTGAAATTAAAGGGTTATGAGAATACTACCAGTCACCTGTGTCAACAAATTAGACAATTTACATAAAATAGCCAAATTCCTCAAAAACAAAAAACTATCAAAACTGATTAAAGAAAAAATGGAAATTATGAATAGCTCTATAACAAGAAAATAAGTTACTTAAAATCCACACTCCTGCACCACCCCTACCACAAGCCCAGGCTAGAAGCCTTCACCTAGTAAACGCTATCCAATATATAAAGAAGAAATAATACAAATCCTAAACCAATTATTTCAGAAAACAGGCAAGGGAACACTTTCCAACATATCCTATGGGACTGGTATTACCCTTTTACGAAAGCAATGGAGAGAGCATGAGAAAACAAGAGACCAATACCCCTCAGGAATATACACATGAAAATCTTTAACATAACATTAGCACATAAAAATCCAGCACCGTTAAAAAGGACTAAATATCATGACAAAGTGAGATTTATGTGATCATGATATCTACAGGGCTCCTTCCTCTCTTCGGTTCTGCCATCACCTTTTCAGACTAATTTTATTACTAGTCATAATTTGGTTGCATAGTGCCTTCATTTTGCAAACTGATAAGGTGATACCTTTGACTGATCAATTTATCATAATAGAAGAAGGTTACTTTATGTCATACACCCTATATCCAAGCAATTGGATAGGACTGGCTTCTTTATGGGATTACTTAATAGGATCAAGTTATGTTATGTCATACACCCTATGCCACACTCTATCTTCAACCAATTGGATACAGGTTGTATGACATAAAGTAACTTAATCCTATTGAGATTATGAGTATCAAAAAAGATTAAGGATACCGTAAAAGGTGCAGAAAGCAAGAAGACTACCAATTTCAACCTTAATGTTGAGAGATTCAATAACTGACATAGATTTTGAACTAAATGGAAAAGGTAGGTGAGCAATGAGCCTAGATTCTAAGTTTAGTAAAAACTGGGACTTAAAACAATCAAGCACCAACTAGATCCATAGGGAGCATAAACTTGGCTGGTTTTAGAGTTTTTTAGAGAGATGACAGTCTGTTGGAGAAGGGGCATCCAGTCTTCAGGAATATAAGCGAGACTTTGACAAGATGGTTTGTCCTTACTATAGCTGTATGTTAATTAAAGCACTGAAATCCAGTGCCAATTTTAGGCTTATTTACCCCTGGTCATCAGTTAAGTTGACAGAGCTTCCCAAGCCCAAGAAGTTTTCCTTCTAGGTTCCTGCTTTTAGAGATGGTTATCAGGAAGAGGAGGATGCATCTTGCCATCTACCCCATCACCACCTAAGTTATCTGGTTCTGGGTGGAAAAATACACTGGATTAACCCCCAAATACAATCCATAATATGGTTCTAGTGGGAGATGTGAGAGAAAACTAGTTACCTGTTTTCAGAAAGCACTTGCAAACACCTAAATGTTCATACTCATCTCTAGGAATCTGAAAAAGGATTCACCTAGAAACAATGCTATTTGGTAGCCTTTCATTTCTTCATGTATTCTTCAGTTTAGAATTACAACCTTTAACCTAGAGCATTAGTTAGCCAGTTCTGCACTATAAATGAAATGTAAAAATCTAATAGTTTTACATTTTTTGCTACATGACAAAACTTACCTCAATTTTTCAAAAGGTGGTATTTCAGATGAAAGAACAGATGTGAAGCCATAAAAGAGATAAAGCTCTTGGATGTCACAGGTGATCTGAAATAATGCAAATAGGAACTGAAAAAATTCAGATTAATATTTCAGTAATAAAACCAAGACACCGCAATGTATTTTGTAGTCAACCCTGGAAAACCTCTTTTCTCTAACTGAAAACAAAGATCAAAAGTTTGAATAGATATTTCTAGGAAAGTTTAGACTAAGTTTACAGCCTCATTAAACATGACTAATTTCAAAAACTAAATCTGGCTGATAATACACACAAATCAAAATTTATGTTTTTTCTGGGTGAATTTCAAACATGATGTTGATATGACATTTCCATATTCTGAACTACAAAATAATTTATAACAATTCTACAGACCACATGCAAGTTTATTTAAATAATTTAACACTGCAGAGTGAGTCAGTTTATGAGTATAAAAATAGATGGTTTAGCAAGCAAAAATGCATCCCACAAAAGCAGATTATACATACACCATCCGGCCTTTGGAACATTAAGGCAACATAAATATCTCAAGTAATTTTAGAAGAATGCTTTACTTGTATAACAGATCTCAAAAGAGGCAGGGCTCACAATTGTTTTTTTCAGTATGAAGTCTTCTCTTTCCATTTACTTTTTAATATATTAACGATTCTTCTTAAATATTGTACCACAATTAGTCTAGATTAACAAATGGGCTATCAAAGCCACTATCTTGTTGGCTAGATAGCGGAATGATTAATTTTCTTGAAGGCTGCTGACACACTGAAGATGGTAATGTACTGCTCAGTTTTTTGAAATCTGACTTTAATATATTAGCCTTGTGATGAGCCAGAGGTTGGTGAGTCACATTGATCTCTCCTGGCCGCAAATACTTGGTTTCTTCTGACAGGTATGGAGTTTGATCATGCTTACACTTCATTGTTTGACAAATCGTATTACTATTCTCTGTATCTGAAAGACAACTGGATGGTGAAAATTGTTTAGAATTAACAGATTCAGTTCCTTGTGGCCTACTACATACAAATGACGCTTGATGACTGTCAAAGGGTAAAGTTGCACTGCTGGAAGGCCAGTCCAAGTTGTCGCTAAGGTCCCCTCCATCTCTTACTGGAGGTTCCTGAACACCCAAAGCTTGACTTTTCTCAGATGCCACATTTTCACTTTCCATTGGTAGATTGCATTTACGTACTTTTAAACCAAGTCTTTCATTAGGATCATGAAAGATTATATTCATGCATCCTGATTCAGAAGGACTAGGGGTACATCTAAGAGAGGGTTTATTTCCTAACGTTCCAAGAAAGGGGTATGCAGCTGAATGCAGAAGTGATTCAGAACCATTATCAGTGAGTAGGTCTTTCTTCTTGTGCAAACCAAAGCCTCCTTCACCTTCGCAAGGAACAAACTCATGAGAAGCTTTCTTTGGCAAACTGTTTAGGTGCTTGCAAGTACTGTCCCCAAACTGGAATTCTGAATGTGACTCTTTGGATCCCACATGCTTTCTGCTCCCATGCTCTGAGTTCTCTAACAGCCTTTGTAAGTTACAAGCAGCCCTCCTCTTGGGAACTTGTTCGCACACACTTCTTGTGATGGTGTTTAGACTGTTTGATTTGCTTACATTACAACATGGTATTTTCTGATTCACATCATTTCTTTTTGATTTTTCATCTCCAATCAGCATCTCTGAAGTTAGGGGCAAAGCTATTATGTGCAAGGAAACATAAAATTAAGAGAAAGTTAATATTTAAAGGGAAGATCATCCTTGAGTCAAAAACTTAAAAAAATAAATAAAAAATTATGTTTTATGTATTCCCAAAGAATACTTATATGCAATAATCATTCTTAAAGAAAATACATCAATGCCAGACATTTAAAAATATTCTTTTACATTTATCCACTAGATAAAGCTTGGTAATTTTGTTACCAAAATCCAATATATTCTTATTATGGCTATCCACCTGACCTATCATTTTCTGCAATAGATGTTATAGCATTTCAAGATCCAATCACAATGTTCTCAATTCTGTACTGATGTCAAGAATGGAGTTTCTGACAAGTTTGCTCAAAGAACCCAACTCACCCAATATCTACACACACACTTTTAGAACAGCTAAATAGACTTTCTGCTTTAATTAGCTAAGGCACTAAATTTGATCAAAGATAAAGCAGCCACATAGCATGGAATTAGAGGTGTTATATCTCAGAGTGGCATGCCTTTGTTTCTAGAGTCTATGAAAAGGATTTGCTTCTCTACTGGGGACATTATTTGTACACTGTTGCCCCAGATCCAGAAAGTTACTTTCTTGTTATATGCTACTGCCTTTTCATACCCAAGGTTCACATCACCATTCCAAAATTTATACAAATAATCTTTATGCTTCTACATGAGGAACGTTTACCAACATCGCACTCACAGACTCCTGAACAATTTCAGCTTCAAGTTTTCCAGAGGTTCAAAAGCCCCACATCCCCATTCATATGTTAAAAATCTCCCAGTGTGATTAAGAATTTACCAATTTCATGTTTTTCTATCAGCTCTGGCTTTAAAGCTGTGTTATTATATACAGAAAGAAAAAAATAATAGTTTCTCCGGAGACTACTCCATTATCATTACGAACTATGACCTTTGTCCCTTTCAATGCTAACTCTAATTTAGCTAATCTTTTATTTATCTCAATAATTTATCTAATACCAACATCGCATTTGCTTGGTATATCAGTCTCCATCCCCTGATTTGTAATTTAAATGTTCTTCTTGTAAAAACAGCAAATGTCTGTATTTTTAACAACCCCTATTTGAAAGTTGTGGTCTTTTCATAACTGAGTTTAACCTATTTATATTTAGTATGATTGCTGATGTTTCAAACTACTATTATGTCCTACTTACCCATGGCTTTCTAGTTTTTTTTCCTCTTGCCTGATTTTGTTAGATTAAAAACGTTTCTTTACAAGGTTTTCCTTTACCAGTTTTAAAGTTATATGTTCTTTGTCTTTGTTGGTTACTCTTAAATTTTTTTTTTTTTTTTTTTTTTACAGAGTCTGCTCTGTTTCCCAGGTTGGAGTACAGTGATGTGATCATAGCTCACTGCAGCCTTGACCTCCCAGGCTCAAGTGATCCTCCCAACACCAGAGTGCCCCATTTAAAAAATTTAAAAAATTTTTTGTAGCAACAATGTCTCACTATGTTGCCCAGGATAGTCTTGAACTCCTGGGCTCAAGCAATCCTCCCACCTCAGCCTCCCAAGGTGCTGGGATTATAGGCAAGAGCTACTATGCCCGGCTACTCTTGAATGTTAACAGACATACTTAAAACCTGTATTTTTCTAGCAATGACCAGTGTTATTAGTATCTATATTCTTTCCCTAAAAATAGTAAAATTCTTAGCAAATTTTCATTTCCTCTACCATATCCTCTTACATGTTAGAATACTGTGCTTTTTAACATTCTCAGGTCCTGTTGTTTGTTCTATGAATCCTGTTTTCTTAAACATAAGTTCTATTGGATTTTTTCTTCTTGCCATTAGTGTGGTGTCTCTGTGTGTGTTGTTATGGTTTTCTATAAATATATAGTGATTCTTGGTTAAATGCTTATCTTTTAGATATCCTGGATAACATAATTGTTTGTGCTCCTGCTTAAAGGGGTTGAGAGTGGGGGTAGAGAAAATGAGCTACAGAGTAGAAAGATCTAATAGCTGAGACTCTGGGCATGTGGGCTCCCAGTTCCTGCTTGATATAGCTAGCCACCTGGAGCAGTGCCCTGCTCCCAGATTCTTTGTTCCTGCTGTTGTTGCCCAGCTCAATATTGAGGTTGGAGGAGGAAGGGGAGAAAGAGAAATAAAGAGAGGACTAACCCTACCTGGTTGCTGTTGGTCTAGAACATCAACTAATTACCCCATTGATACCCCCTAGGCCCTCTACTTCTCCTGGAACGTACCACCCTCACATGTGGAACAGTTTTGATATTGCTCCTACTTGCAGTTGTCATCTCTTAGTGGTTTTGAACTGAGGTTTCCATCTCCCATCCTATACTGTCTTCTTTCTCTCAGGGATTTCTTGTCACTTCTGGTCTATCCACGGCAACTTTTTTTTTTTTTTTTTTTGAGACAGGGTCTCATTCTTTCAACTAGGCTGGAGGACAGTGGCACAATCATGGCTCATTGCAAACTCAGATTCCTGGGATCAAGAGATCCTCCCACCTCAGCCTCCCAAAGTGCTGGGATTACATGTGTGAGCCATTGTGTCTGTCCTAATGCCACCTTTTAAAACACAGTTATAATTTCCTCTTTTTCTCATTTTTATTTGCTGTTGAAAATTTTCTACCATTTCTAGGGATGGAAGCAGCAACTGGAAGCTGATGGGCCTGCTCAGTTTGCCTACTTGAATTGGAAACTGTATACTCTTTTTCTGTAAACTTGCAGTTTAACTATACAACCTCATAAATTAACTCTTATTCCTTATCTTCCCTGCCTTTTTCATACGAAAATATTAAATAACCAAAAAAGAAGAGATAGGAAAACCATTTGGTGACTCACTTTGACATACCTGACTGTGTAGTTTTGCTGTGGGACTTACTAGAAATAGGTGTTTCCAGCAATTTTGCCATTGTAGCAAGTTTGCTAGCAGCATTCATAATCTTTTTCTCAGCCCTGTGGGGAATTCCAGAATATTAAAAATACAGTTTTAAGGAAAAAATGAGTTGCCTTAACCCCAGTTTCTGTTTTCCTATTGGCTCTGCCAACATTTGGTAGCACAGTCATAAACCTCTCTTAACTCCCTATGGCTGATCATGTCGAAATAGTTAATTTAGTGGTTAAAGAAAATGCTTTAAAAATGACAACATGCTGTCCTGGTAATCTCAGGACACATTGTTCAGACCGAACTCACCCTTCTTTTCCATCATCCTGCAAAATCTGTTGGAGGCAAATCAAATAATATTTGCGCATCTTTCTGGCGGTTTCTTGACGTTCTCGCAGTACCTCTGCTTTTACCATTTCTGCGGCACGTTCCTTACTCTCCTGAATATAACGAAGCATATCACCTATAGTGCAGTGAGAAAATGCCCACAGAATGCATTTTTATTAGCACTTTTTCAGAAACGAGGGGCAGACTTCAGATCAATTTTCTGGTAGATGAAGTGATTTTAAGTATAGTTTAAACATTATACTTTCCACAGTCATTAAAATGGAATATTTTAGATCATCATTTTGGTAGACTCAAATGAGAAGTAATCTATAAGTTCTTTTGGAATGATGACAGCTACATATAGTAAGGAAACATGGCATATTCCCCAGCGAAATTCTGGCACATTCTAAAACAATTAGCGAAGAAAATACTGTAAATATGAGACACAGAAACATATGTATTTCAGTTGTACATTATGTCCAGTTAAGAGAAAAATAAAATACAAAGAAAAAGTTAAGCAAAAAGAAAGGAAAAAGCAAACACGAAGAAAAGGAGGCAATATGAGCTGGAGAGACTCATATTCTTCTCTTGTGCTCTGAAAATTTAGGTTGCGATATTTATTGACAATTTTTTCAGCAGTACTTTTTGAGCATCTAACTAAATATAATATTACACTCCATAAGAGAGATATACAAAATGAGACTACAAGGAGGGTGATGGGACTTATAGTTGGCATCTGAAATTTACAGATAAACATAGCTCACAGCTTTCAAGGTATTTTTAATTTTTTTTTAAGTCAATATAGCTTTGATTAGGACTACTATTAGCTAAGGCTTTTTGTTTTCTAAATAAATCCAAGACTACCTCCTACATCTAGAATTTCACCATCTCTGTTATATTAAGGATACCAATTCATACAGGAATCTCCCTCTCAGTGTCAGTAAGCATCTGAAAATTAGAAGTTCTATGCAAAAATATTAACTGGGAGACTATTTTTCATTATTTGAAATGGAAAATGAAATGGAGTACTTGTGAACACAAAATGAACCAACCAACTTTCTAAAAAATAAAACATAATATACATATATACATACAAGTTATCATGTTAAGATGAAAAAATACTTAAAATTCCACTTCCCAATTAATACACTATTAACAAAAAGTTGCTTTGCTTGTAGCAATATGCCCTTTGATAGCACCGTAACAATGGAGAAGCAAATTCCCTTATTAATACTGAATGAGCTTTGCAGAACATCTATACGTGAATCTGAATCTACCAATTATACGTGAAACTTCAGACTTTTCCTGCTCTTTTTGTTAAAAAGAAATGTAATTTTAATTCTATATAAACACTAGTTATTGTTTTGGGACATATATCCATTCTATGCAATTTTATAATTAAAAACTAGGAAGTATTCAAAACAGGGAAAACACACACCAGGAGAATACTCTACAGGATATGCTGGCACCACTTGGTACTGACAAGAACTTGATAAATTTATAGCTATGAGAAATAATAATCAGAAACAATAGAACAATTGCTAACTAGATCCATCTCCAAAGTCCTTAAAAGTTCATGGAGGAAGCCAGGCATGGTGGCTCATGCCTGTAATCCCAGTACTTTGGGAGGCTGAGGCGGGTGGATCACCTATGGTTGGGAGTTTGAGACCAACCTGGTCAATATGATGAAACCCCGTCTCTACTAAAAATACAAAAATTAGCTGGGCGTGGTGGCGTACATCTGTAATCCCAGATACTCGGGAGGCCGAGGCAGGAGAAGCCCTCAAACCCGGGAGGAGGAGGTTGCAGTGAGCCGAGATCATGTCACTGCACTCCAGCCTGGGCGACAGAGCAAGACTCTGTCTCAAAAAAAAAAAAAAAAGTTTATGGTAGGAAGTAATGGTTAATTGCTCATTTAAAACCCATGAGACATTTTCTTTACTACAAATTATTTAAGTTGTAAGATTAAACTTTCAGTAATACTAGTGTCCAAAAAGAAACAAAAAAATCAACAACATAAACCTAAGACTGTCCTCATATCACTGCCAAAAGATATTATTTGGGCAAAATGATCAATGACTATGTAATTTTGAAAAGGTTTCAATGATCACTTCTAAGATTGAAGAAAAAAGTAATTTGGAAAATTCTCTGAAAGTACTACTGCTGGTAAACTCTGAGTTTACATTTAACAGCAACAATAAAAAAACTGGCTCAAGCCATCCTTAAAATCTTAGGAATCTCTTAGGGACTTACGTTTAATTTTTTTTACAGCTTTAATGTACTGCCCACGAAGTTCTTCCAAGGCTCCCCCACTGTATGGCAGGCAAGCATTTTCAATGGCCCCTGCTGACAATGACCTAAAAAAAAAACAAAAAACCAAGATGACAAAAACAGAAATGGTAAATGAAAGATTTCATTTGAAAAATATCTATGTATCATGTACTCTAATAAAATTAACTGAGAAGTGCTAAAAAATCTCATATACAAGAATCTCCACTACACAGTTACTTAAAATAGGAGAAAAATGGAAACAACATAATTGTTATGGTGCTTCAATAAAGAATGGTAAACCCACATGAAAATTTATGCAGGTATTGAAAAAAACATGTAGCAGAATATCTGATAACACAGGGAAATGCTTATCTAACATTAATAAAAAGTTATAAAATACCTTATATTCTCAGTTAAAAAACACACTGTACACATGGTGTGTGTGTAGAAAGGCTTACATGAGACAAAATATTACTAGAAGGTACCTTCCGGGAATAAGATTTTGGGGGATTTTCTTCCTTTTTATCCTTTTTTGCTGTATAACAAAAAAATAATTGATCCCTAAAAAAATTTAGATACTTGTACTTAGATTTCTTTAAAATAGTAAAAGTATACCTTGGTGGTGTTTTACAAAGTGTTCGCAGTTCTTCCAATTTATTCTTCATGTCATTGTTTTCTTCTATTAGTTCTTCTACAACTTTATTATTCTCTTCTATAACAAGAAGTTTATAGTATATTAGACAGTTAAATGTTTTTTAGCCTTCTTTTCCCTTAAGTTCCAATACAAATGTTTATAGGGAAGACTGCGTTATTTCCAGTTGCTCTCCTGTAATGTTCATTTCTTCAGAAACCCTAGTCAGACCATTCCTTTGCTCTGTTTTCTCAGCACTTAAAATCTGTATCCCATCTTCTTCTTGCTTTGGGTTACACACTGTCCTGGAATTGGGTTTCAGCTGTTTCAAATGCCTGTGTTTTATTTTCCAACTGTCCTGAAGTTCTGTAGAAACCTACTAGGTTTTCTAATTTCATGTTCCCTGTGGATCCTGGTAGACCGTTTATGCTCATATAAATGAACACTGAACATGCACCTCAATATAAAACAAAAAAGAAATTAACCTTAAATAGGTACCCTTTTCAGAAATAATGTAAGGTTTTCAATTCTTTGAGCTTTTAAAAAGAGGATGAGGAGACTGATAAAGGCCATGCAGTATGAAGGAAAAAGACAGGAATTTCAGAGTCAGAGACATCAGTTTACATTCTAACTCTGCTGCTTACGTGGTAGATAAGCCTAGGGAAAATTAACCTTTCTGAATCTGAGTTTCTTCACATGTAAAATGGTGATAGTATTAGTTAACTTACAGATTATAACAGAAATAAAACAACGATGTACAACACCTATACAAGGCCTCTCAATGATGAGATGAACATGGCATCTGAAGTTTCCTATGATGCCATCCCCTCAACACACCCACAGGCTGGGGAAAGAAATCACTCTGTTCCCCCGATTATGGATATAACTTTTTTGTTAACTCACTGCCACTCCATCTATTTCCCAATAAACACTACCAAAAGAGTGGAAAAATGGAATTTAAGAAACAAAGAAACAATCTATAATCACCTAATGTAATCACTTAATAGATATAATCACCTAACAGATTTACATTAAGAAAAAAATTCAATTAAACTACGGACTTAAAACAATGAGTTGATACAAAGGGTCAGATTTTAAGTATCAACTTTGATTATTTGCAAATCTTACGAGTTTTAGAAGACATCAGCTTCAAAAAGCACTGTGTAGAGTAACTATTATATGATCACAATGTATGGTGCTAAATACTATTTGTAAATAATAATCATATCCAACTGCTCTGTCATTGTATTATGTAAAACAAGTTGTCTTGGTTTTCATCATATTTTACCATATCTATGTTGTAAATATATCTACAGTTGGACAAATAACTCATGTCCTCTCTTGTCCTCTACTAAAAAGCTAAGTAATCGCAAAAGGAATTGCAGTTGTTAATTTTTTAATCTCAAAATTCTTAAAACCCCTTCCAGCCTTAAAGTAATTATTATATATCTCTTAGTAATAAGAGTAATAAGTGCCTTACTAATAAGCAGTCGATGGTAGTAGGTGGCTTCTCTTAGTCAACAATATTTCTTGAGTCGTGCTATGACGCCAGGCACTCTGCTAAGTGCTAGAACACGACTTGATCCTTATTGCTATAAAGTCTGCACTCCAAAGGGAAGTACAGACAGCAAACAATTACAAGGATGGTGAATATTATAAAAAGCATAGGAACCATGGGGAGTGTAAAACAGGAGGACTAAACAGGTCTGCAGTGGTTAGGAACGCCTCCCTGAGGAAGTCATGTACTGGGGAAAAGATGAGTAGGAGTTAGCAAATGAGATCAGAATGTTTTGGTGAAGAGAGAAGACAGTGAAATCCATGCTGTGGCTCTACTGAGAGCAATTAAGAGAGCTGGGAAAGATAAGGCTGGAGGGGCTGACAGGTACTGCCTCAAGATCTTTTTAAACTCCATTAAACTGAGTGTTTTTGTGTCTCATACTGAGGGCCGTGGCAAGCCACTGAAGAGTTTTAAACAAGAGTGTCATGTTTCAATTCACTTTTTAAAAAGATTGCTCCAGCTACCCCATGGAGAATGGATCAGAGGGGCTAGACTAGAAGCAGAGTGAGTCAGGAGATTATTGCCAGTGTCAAGGCAAGAGACAGAAGTGGATGTAGAAAATATACTTATTAAGCTGGTCTTTTCTGAATGACATCATTATTTGGGACCCTGGCATTTTGGTTTTTGTCCATTTAAACATTTATTATCTGGTATGTAGTGGGCATCATGGGTATTAGGATGAACAAGATATGGCATATTCCTTCTCCTGAGAAAATTCAGAATTTGGAGAAGGTGTCGTACAAGTGACCAAACAATTAAAATACAGAATAGTAATGGTGATAATAGAGGAAGAGTCAAGTGCTACAGGACCACACAAGAGCAGCCCACTTCACCCAGACTAGGGAAAATCAAGGAGGGCTTTGCAGATAAAGCATCTTCTGAGTTGAATCCTAAAGAACAAGAGTTAAGACTAAAAAGTAAACGTTGGGATAAAGTACAGGACAGAATACAAACATCATATGCAACGAAGGTCCAGCAGTAAAAGAAATATGACCAGTCAGGAATTGAAAACATTTCAAATGTAAAGAGTATCGCATATAGGCTATAAGCAATGCTGAAAGATAAGATGGAGCAGCCATCTAAGCCCCCAAACTTCCCTTCAGACGGGCAATGGGAAATGGTGGAAGATACCCTTCCAAATGCCCTCACAGCATTGTGATGAAAGGACTAGACAAAGGCCAGTCCAGACCCTCACGCCCTTGTTTATGGCTTTTCCCTCTATCTCAAATGCTGTTCTCCTTGGCAAACACCTCTATTTTTCAAGGCTTAGTCAAACCTTTCTTAACTTTAATAAGAGGTAGAATTAACAGTCCTTTTTCCTAAGTACACACTGCCAACAGCACTCAATGTTTAATTATTCGTTAATCTGTTTTTTAGATCTCCTCACTCAAACAAAAGCTTCTTGAAGGAAGGGAACATATCTCCATCAGAACTGGAATTCTGTACCATTTATTCACTGCTGCATTCCCAGTGCTTAGAAGCCTGCTTGACACATACTGGGCCCTCAATATCTGTTCAATCAAGAAAGGAAGAGAGGAATGTGACCTTTTTAATCAGAGCTGAAATCTTCCTCTTTTGAATTTTGTAATAATAATTTGATTAGCAAAAATAAGATCCAAATTAGTTTACATTAATCCCAAAAGAGGATCAGTGCACACATTAACTAAAATGTCACATTTGAACATTTCAACAAGGATCAAAGAGATTTATATTGGTAGCAGTGCTACTTTAAATGCTAACCTCCAAGTTTTTCCACTACAGCTTTGTGCTTCCTTTCTAAATGCTGAAGATGCCTACAGCATTTCTCCAGTTTTCCTTTCAGATCTTGACATTCCTGCTTTGCCTTTGCAAGTTCTTGGAAGCAGTGTCCACAGCATAAATCCTTAATTTCAAGGATCTTTTTCTTATCTGCAAAAATTAAATGACAGAAAACTTTTAAATCAGTTTAGACTAAGAACTACCAATAAAGAAAAAAAGAAAAGCAGATGACTCATGACTAAAGGCTACGGCACGACTGAAAGAGTGTCATGCTTAAGATAGACATTTACATACTGTTTCTACTACTTACTGGCTGTGTGACTTGGAGCATGTTACTTGTCTGAGGTACTACTGGATACCACCATCTACTTTAAAAACAGCCATAAAACCTATTGCTTTGAATCTTGGTACTGAATACCATTCCCTACTAATAGGAGTCAAGGATATTCAAGAAATGACTCCAGTACTGAGAGAGGTTATATACAAAATAAGACTGAAGTATCTTCCTATGCCAGAAAGTAAGAAAATACTCAAAAATACAGACATGTCACAAGGACATAGGAGCCAGTTTGAAGGAGCTTCACTAGCTGAAGCTGGGACAATTTGAGCACTAAATATAGTAATGAATTATAAAGTATTAAAAATAGGAATTTATGAGTCATCAATAATTTTATGAACGGTAAGTTGATAGGTGAGTTGGTAAGTAGGTAGGTAGATGAATGGATGGACAGATAAATACACAGGCAAATGAGATGGGAGGATTCTTGATTAAAACAACATGCTGAGTGCCAACTGGGGTAAGTAGAGGGAGGAAGTTGGAAGAATTATAATTTTGCAACCACCATAATAAAGACAGGATCAAGCAAGAATCATCAATGGTTGTCAAATCTAAGAGAACGTTTTTATGAGGAGAAGATATCTGCACGGTTTTAACAGTGTGTCCCCACAGATTGCTTATCAGTTGCAAGGGTGGGGCAAAAAAAAAAAAAAAAACCCGGTAATTACACAGTGAAGAAATTTAAGACAACATTTTCACCAGGGAATGAAAATTCACCTCACCAATAAAAGACAAACGGACACCACGGGCTTTCAGATGTGACAACATATTACCCATGCAGTGCTCCAGCCAAGAAAGCACAACCTGAATCTAATCGTGAAGACACGCCAGACAAACCCAAAATGAGAAAAGTTCTGTTAAAAAAAAAAGGGAAAGGGGGAAGCAAAGAATATTTCTCAAAAATGTCAATGTCATAAAAGACAAAGAGAGGTAGTGGAAATGTTCTAGATTAAAGGTGACTAAAGACACGTGACTAAGTGTAGCACCTGACCCTAAAGAAATCTCTGTCCTGGAGGAGGAGAAAAAAATGCTGTAAGACAGTATTTAGTCAATTGACAAAATTAGAACACCAACAGTGGATTAATACATACCTTTAATGTTAAATTTACTAAGGTTACACAAGAAAATATTTCTATTCCTGGAAAGTACAGTCTGAAGTACTTAGCCATAAAAGGTCACAATGTATATATAACTTATCCTCAAATGGTTTGTAAAAAAATGAAATATTCACATACACATATATACATATGGAGTTAAAATGTTAACAATAGGTGTATCTCATTAAGCGTATATGAATGTTCTTTGCAACTATTTTTATTTTTTATTTTTCTATAAGTTTGAAATTATTTCCAAATTTTAAAAATGATGTAAAAACTTTTAAGAGACTTACATGTATAAGAACTGTTTGGCACAGTACCTGCCATAGAGCAAGTACACAATAAATAATAGCTGTTGTCCTTAGTAATATATATAATTTACAAAATTAAAATAGACAAAACTGATTAAAAAGTAGAATATTAATATAAATGATATAATAAAGCAGTAATACAGTTGGCACAGGCTGCGGCCAATATACAAAATGTTACTGTAAAGTCACTGATCTGGCAAAATTATTCTTAGCTCTCTCCTGACATCTTAGTTTCATGAGCATTAAAGGACTGATAAAGCCTTACATTGGTATCATATACTGTATTTATATTTTTCATCTGGGATACTGCTGTAAAATTGGAAACCATGCAAATGCCACTGACAAGAGAACAGATATATCAGCTATAGTATATTCATGCCATGAAATACTACATAGCTATGAAAATGAATGAACTAGAGCTATTGCATCAACATAGACAAATCTTACTAGCATGCTGTTAAATGGAAAAAAAGCAAGTTACAAAGAATATAATGAGTATTAAACAATTTTTTTATAATGTTAAAAACATAAAAAGGCAACAACTTTTTGAGGGTACATACACATAATGAAAACATTTTTAAAAAGTAAGAGAATAATTTTTAACAATCAGAATATTTGTTAGCTCAGACTGGGGAGAAGTTGTGGGGACTGAACTGCGGTCAACAGCACTGGTGATGTTCTCTGTGCCTGAAGCTGAATAATAGGTTCTTGGTTGTTAGGCTTCATAACTCACAGATGCATACATATAATCTTTGAATGAACTAAGTATTTCATAATTAATGTTTAAAGTACTTTAAATAATAAGATATTAGAAGAATATAACCTAACAGTCAACAGTGATATGCTCTGGTGGTAGGATTTTAAAGGACTTTATCACTTAATACATGTTTTGTATTATTTCTAATGAATTTTTCAATATGTTTGTTTCTAAGGAAAAAAAAGACTGAAGAAAGAAAAGCATTTTTATAGTCTGATTTGTCTTTGGCCAAAACTAATTTCTTCTATATTTATAGGACTTCCTAAAGCTAAGTAACATCCAAAACTTGTTTCTACCCATTTCACAGATTAAAAAGGAATTCTCAAGCTATTCCAAATATGATGTAAAATAAAAAGTATAATGCAAAATACAAATTAAGGTAATATTACCATCCACTGAAATGGCAATAACATATTCTCAGTCACCTAAAAAAGGGGGTTTGTGAACAATGAGAAAGGCAGAGATGATATAGGCAGAGATTCTCTAAGATTCTGGTAACACTGCCTACTGAATTAGACATGTGTGGAAACTGAGGTTATTTGCTTAGTAGGCATGATTGGCCCTGGCAATTATTTGTTATTTTCCAGGTTACAATGGAAACAGCAAATAAGCAGTAGAGAGTGGGTGCTGTGTAGTTGTGTGGGGAGGAAAGGAACAGGCTGCAAGGGGTCAACAGGCTAAAAGGGAGGGGAGCCAATAAAGGATTTGCAAATTTCTAGCTCAGAAATCTCATTGAATAGGCAATATAAGTCCTAGACTCCTCAGTAAGCTCTGTGTACAAGGTGCTCTAGTGCAGTACAATAATTCTTTTGTTGTGACAAAGAGTCTAAGTCATTAAGGAAAAGTTAAACTATTAATTCATCGTTCTGCCACGCGTTGCAAAGAAAGAGATTAAAAACCCTGCCCATGCCCTCAGAAAAACTCAAAAATCAATTTGAAAACATCTCATACATTTCAGAAAGATTTCCATTAAAAAGTGATTGAAATAAGTTTCAGTAACTTGAATGAAAAAGTCTCTATTACTTGGCAATTCTCTTATGTGAACTTCTTGATTTCTCCGTAGTCAGGGAATAAAATCATGACTTCTATGAAAACTCTCATAATTCTCCTTGTAATAAGAATCACTTGTGAATGGAGGGAAAACAGTAAATAGAAGACGAGGGCTAAATCAACCCTGTTCTCTAAATACAAAATGAAATCGAGGAAAAGGAGACATTATATCAGAATAGTATTGCACATTTGTTCACATCTATGATCTCCTTTTATCCTCAAAGCAACCCTTCAGAAGGGTGATTACAGATGCTACAAAGACTGGTGGGAACAAAATCCAATTACCAACTTCTGCTTCTGTTTGTTGTAAGGCCAAGGGCTGAGCATGGTGTCCAGCAGTAGGTCCAGGGTCTCCTTGGCCAGTGCCCCGGCTGGCAGAATCCTTAGCGAGCTCGGCCATATTTCTCTGAAACAAATTATCTTTAAAGTTAATGCTTAGTAAAAATCTTTATGAAATTTTATATTTAAAATGCGAATATTAACAATACAAAGAGGAAACATTACCTGAAAAAAATCTTGCCTCAACTATCTATCAGCAATATTTTTCTTAAGGTGTTACATGAGTACTGTCACTGTACTAGAAACTAGCCTCCTATGATAATATTTTCCAAATTAGAACATTTTCTGACAGGCGACTGGTGAGCCGGCTATGAGACAGACAGAAGATATGGTTTGCACATTTATATATATGCATTTGAGATTTTTTAATGGCTTACATGATGAAACCACATGAAAGACGATATAAAATCAGAATTGTTCTTGAAAATCTAGAATGTTTTTACTACAGCAAATTTTACTACTACAAATTAGTAGTTTTACTACTACAAATTAATTAGCAAGTATAATACCAACCCTCTGCCTCCCATGAATTGAAAACAAAAGTAACAAATTATTTTAAATTTATATATTACCTCATATGCTTCTAAAAACTTCAACATATGCAGTAAATTTGTAAGGAAGGCCTGCTGAATGCCTAAGTTAAGACAGAAATTGAGGCTTAGCTAAATTAAACATCTTGCAGAAGACTATTTCTTCACTAATATTTATGGAATGCTTTTTGTGTTCTAGTCCTTGTCACAGGCAATACAGCTACTAAACCAATGGATTTTTAGGGCAATGTTTTCAGATTTTAGATGACTGCCAAATCAGAAAGAAGAGAATAGGTGATATTGAGAAAGCAGTCTTGTTCGATTATTTAAAACATATATGCTTGATTCTAGAAGCCTTGATTTTTAATTAAGCCTTTTAATTAAAACCATTTAATTTTCAGGAAACCTACTCACAATGTCTAACAGAAGCAGAGTTCAGCAATGATTGATAGAGAAGAGGCAATCAAGAAGCTATGGGTTTGAGGCCAAAGGAGTAAGAAAAGCTGAACCAAAATGCAGTCAATGTTTCCAGTTTCTATGCAAAACTGGAGAAGAAAAGTCAAGAGGACAGAAAACGTAGGATAATAGCAACTTGTCTTAGTTTTCACTTGACTTTGATGGTAAAAGAGACAACATACATCCTAAGTTTGCTTGAAAATTTTGTTTATCTGTTTTGAACTATAAATATATTTTGATAAGGCATTCATTTTCTTGACAGCTATATTTTTCATTCATTGCATCCTCTCCATTAAAAAAAAACCTTTTGATTGTCTTATTTTAATGAGGACTTGTTTTTATATATTAAACTATTTTTTGTTTAAATTTCTATGAACAGTTTCTTAAACTAGAGATTTAATAAGTTATAAATTAGAGTCCCTCACATTTACAGCACCCACATAACAAATTTAAAATCACAGCTTTATAATCATAGCTTTACCTTAAGGTACTGAGTGGAATTAGCTTGAAAATGGCAGAAGGTCAAGTATTACTTCTATGACAAATTCCAGATTAGACATCTCAAAGCCATCCTTTTCTCAGGAATGGAATCTGACCCACCCAACAAAAGCTGCAAATGTCTAAATTCTTAGCCAGATTATGTGAGTCTGTCTCCATAGACTTGTAAGCCACATTAAGTCACACATATGATCTTATACAGCTTACACAATTATAAGTTCTGTAAAAAGACTCCAGGGTTGATTTCATATGTATATATGAATGGTAGGAGAAAGGTGTCATAGTTTCTTGATTTCTATAACAGAAACTGCCTCTTCGGGAAAGCAAACTTGAAAGCATGTCAACGTAATTTTCCTATTACTTCTCATCTCAAATCTGCTATAGATAATTTTATTTTAATTATCTATTTTCTCCAAATTCTTTAATTTCTCTAAAAAAATCTCAATAAAGTGTTAAGCAGTATTCATGGGAAGTGATCTTGCCCAGTAATTTTTACATTGAAGGCAACTACTCAGTAGTAACATCTTTGTGAGGTCAAGGATAAAAATATCAACTGGGGTGAAGTAGGATGGAGAACTGATCTTTCAGGTCCCTCTAGCTCTAAAATTCTATACTGTTTTGAATGCAGGATGCAGCAAGGCTAAGCTGTGTTATGCATATCCTATTCAAACCCAAGAAATTAAGCCATGGATTTGTATTTTCTTTCTCAGGTGAGCAGCTGTGTGATTGCCCAATGTAATAATCTAGTAATCATCAAATATGGAATTGAAACTCACATTATTTTTCGTACTTTATAACTCTCCCAAGTAGATATTAATACCAAATGCTCAGTCTTGGCCTTGAAACTCTTTAATCACACTATCTTGATGGATCTTAACTCTTATGTCTCAACTGTTCTATCAGAACAACCTTATAATACTGGCATTTTTTTCCTGTCTCTAATTCCAAATGTTGAAAATGGCTAATTGCCATGCTTAGAATATCATTCTGGATCATTATGCATACCTAGTTTCTTTGGTCATAAGGTAGCAAGGCTTTGGTTTTATTGAATCTTTCACACAAATTAAAAGCTAATCTCGGAGAGTACTTATATAATGAAAAGAATATAATTAATTCAGAGTTTTATGCAAGTGAGACATATTTATCTTTTCTGTATAAACATTCTGTATTTGGTTGGCATTTTTTGCCTAAATGAGACATAAATTTCTTGAGGGCAACAAATAGGCTTCCAAACTCTTTAGAAGCTTTTAAGAAACTCTAGCATTATGCATATTTATTGAAGTTCTCAGGCCCAGAAAACAAAATTTGGAATAAAAATTACTCAGTTTCTGAAATCTCAGACCCTTAAAAAGAATAGCATATATATATATATATATATATATATATATATATATATATATTTTTTTTTTTTTAAAGACATTTAGAGGCGAAAAGCTTGTATTTGTGACACTACAAAGTAGTGAAGTTTGGCAACTAAATATGCAAACCTTTGGATTCGCTACAAAAAATTTTTTAAACCCCTGACAAAAACATAAAACTTACATCTACTAAACTTTAAAATGAAGAAAGGAAAAACTGCTAGATACAATTTCCATAATCATTCTTGGTGTTCAATATCTCCTCTCACTCTCAGGAACATACCTTTTCCCATTCTGGGTCGATGTTTTCTGTAAGCAGAGAAAGTGTACCTTGAAATGCTTTCTGTATGCAGGCCTTTAGTTTTTCAAAATACTGCACAGACATCCATTTCGAAGAACAAGTCGACAGGATTTCCAAAAGCTGCGTGTCCTCAGAATCATTGACGTGCTCCTTTTGGGTATCCCTTAAAAGAAACTCAAGTACAGTTAGGATGTCTTCCTCATACTGACAGATTTCCAGTTGGATCCGCTTGGCTTCCTGCATAGTCCATTCTCTACGACTCTGGTCTAGACATGTTTGTAATTCTGTCTCCTTCTGAAGAAGTAGTTCCGTTTTTTGTTTCATAAAGTCTTCTTTAGCTGCCGCAAGCACCTCATTAATTTTATTTCGGTGATCATCTAAAAATTGCCGGTAATCTTGTTCATTTTGTTCTTGGATTCTGTGGATTTCTTCTTGCTTTTCTTTGTTCCATTCACTTCGAGCCTTAGCTAACTCAGCCCTGATGACCACGGGGACTTCTTCGTTCTTTAACTTGAGTTCCCTCTGAAGAGAATGAAACTTCTCTTCCAATTCCTTTCCAGGAAGTATATTTTTCTTCCTATTTTCAAGCTCACTTTTCCATTTCTCTTTAGCTTCAGAAACAGCAAATAATATCTAAAGAACATAACAAACATAAATTTTAAAAGTCTTTATGATTCTCCTCATCCACAAAAAAATTAACTATTTGGGTTAACCTCTGAAGCTAAGAAATTTAAAAATCAAAATTAAAAGGAAAAGTGATTTTAGATATTATTCTAAAACCTATACTTACACTATACTTAAATATGTGTTTATGTGTATGTATACACACTTATATATAATTATATAATTAGCCAAAACTAATGTGAGAAAAAATTTGATACTAGTTTTAATACACAGTCTCAAATTTTACCCGTGCCCCAACAAATTAAGTATATTTTACCTAAAGCAAAAGCAAACTCATAAGTAATTTTTACTATTACTTAGGAATATAGCACATCCCTGCATAATTACTTGCTCATAAATGTAACTGTATATTAATGCACTTTCAGTGGCTAGAACAGCTCATTAAAGGACAATACCACAGAGAAGCCATTTTTCATTAGTCTAATATGTTTGTATGACAGAATAACAGAACTAGTGGATCACAGAAAACAACAGTACATAACCAAAAAGTAATAGGGAAATCAAAAAACCTGGGCCCTAGCTCCAATCCTGACACTGATTTGCAGAGGCAGCCTGGCACACGTGCTTAACAGAACAGACTCTGGAGACAAACTGCTGGAGTAACTTAAAAGCTGTGAAACTTGAGGGCCCATCCCTCAACTTCTTTGAGCCGCAATTTCCTCATCTATAAACTGAGAATAATGACAATGCCAGTTTGATAGCGTCCTTTAGGGTTAAATGACATAAGGACATAATCCATTCAAAGTACTTAGCCCAGAACCTGGCAGATAGTAAGGACTCAATAAATGTTACATAGTTATTACTTTTGGATGCATGACCTTGGAAAAGTCACTTAATCTCATTGGCACTAACATCTTCACCTATATAAAGTAGTAGAGTAGATAATGACTTTTAACATTCCCCAACTGAATTCAAAGAAGGCACAAGGACACAATAGTGTCAAAAGACAGAACTGGGCATCTCCAAAGGCTTGGCCTAGACAGTGGCAGTTACCATTAATCAATACTATATATATGGCTGGGATGACGAGATAGAGTATCTGCTTAATAAGTTTTCTGCTAAAGGAACCCAGTATCTAAGGTGAGCTTTACAAAAGAATTCACTGCAAAATTCCTTTCCTATCAGCAGAATAATTCAGTAGTGATTTGAAACATGTGTACATAGTATTTTTAGAGAAAACAGGTTATATTGCAACGGATGCCTGGAAGTCATTCCCAAGTGACTCGGGTAGAGGAGATGGATCCCACATAATTTGGACAATGTGCCAAACCTTTCCAAAGTGTGCATTTTCTCATGTGAGGTTTTACAAAGAAAATTTGACAGCATTCATCAACTCAAGTGGTTCCCAAACTTTGCTGTACATTGGAATCACCTGGGGAGCTTTTAAACATCCTGATGCCCAGGCTGAAGCCCATACAAAACAAAGTTAAGTTTAAGGGTAGGGGCCAGACAACAAAGATCCTCAAGTTATTCCAATGTGCAGCAAAGTTTGGGAAACACTGAACCAACTTAACTACTTCTGAATTCTGGAAACTGGCTTTACGTTGTCACAGATCTCAACTAATCACTCTAATCCTAAAATAACTACTCTATAGCCAATGCTATGGAACTGGCCCTTTCAGGACCTCTTTTGGTTTTGAGGAAGGATGCACAACCTGCTAACATTATGTGGCTAATGTAATTATCTAGAATAGTGCTACTTAGATCCAAGTGTAGTCCAAAGACCAGCAGTAACCCATTATCTGGGAGCCTCTTAGAAATGCAAATTCTGGCCAGGCACGGTGACTCACGTGTAATCCCAACACTTTGGGAGGCCTAGATGGACGTATCACTTGAGGTCGGGAGTTCGAGACCAGCCTGGCCAACATGGTGAAACCCCATCTTTACTAAAAATACAAAAAGGTGGCAGGCACCTGTAATTCCAGCTACATGGGAGGCTGAGGCAGGAGAATCGCTTGAACCCGGGAGGCAGAGGTTGCAGTGAGCAGAGATCATGCCACTACACTCCAACTTGGGCAACAGAGCAGGCTCCATCAAAAAAAAAAAAAGCAAATTCTCGGGACACTCTCTCCAGACCTACTGTATCATTATCTCTAGGAGGAAAGCCCAGGTAGCTATGCTTTAGCAAACCCTGCAAGGGATTCTCAGGCCTGCTGAAGTTTGAGAAGCAACAAAAACACTGTTCTCTCATTTCTATATTTCTGCATTCACAAACATCCAGGCCTTCTATGTTCTTAAAAAAATATCTCTTGGCCTGTTTTATTTTCTTTATTTTACCTAACTTTATTATTCTTCTTGACTTCTGAGCTCTGAGACACATATCCTCACAATCATATTGTTTTCTCTCTCCCTCTTAAATTTCCTTTTAAAATATTGCAGACATACTAAAAAGTATAGAGAATAATGTAATGAACACTCATGTACTACCATATAACTTAAGAAATATATTAAAATAGATTTTTAACTATGTTGAATTATTCTTTAATTTGTAGAATAATATGCCAAATACCAGATATGAATCTTTCACAATTTGTTACATACATTGTTTTCTAACATGGTTGTAACACCAGGAGGGAAGCAAATGCTTATTGCTGCTATATATTCTATGATATGGGTTACAGTTCAGAAGAGAGGATTTATACACCCAGCATAAAACAGTGTCTTCAGTTGGTTTTAGTTCGCATTTCCCTAATACTGGTAGGCATGAATGTTCTTCCTCTGACTTTTGATATTTGGACTTCTCATGAAGACTAGCCACTCACAGCTTTGGCATGTTTATCCACAGACTTGTGTTTTTCTTGTAAATTTGTATGAGCTCTTTATCATATATTTGTATTAACATTTCTCATATTTTATCCATTTTTCCTTTTTATTATCCCCTTAATTTTACTTTATTACAAAAACATATATTTTGTTGTTGTTGTTGTTGTTGTTGTTTTTGAGACAGAGTCTTGCTCACTCATCCAGGCTGAAGTGCAGTGGCATGATCTCAGCCCACTGCAACCTCCACCTCCACCTCCCAGGTTCAAGTGATTCTCCTGCCTCAGCCTCCTGTGTAGCTAGGATTACAGGCATGCACCACCACGCCCGGCTAATTTTGTATTTTTAGTAGAGATGGAGTTTCACCATGTTGGTCAGTCTCATCTTGAACTCCTGACCTCGTGATTCACCTGCCTCAGCCTCCCAAAGTGCTAGGATTACAGGCATGAGCCACCACTCCCGGCCAACAAAACATATTTCAACCTATTACTTTATCTTTGCTATTGGATATACTGCTGTGAAATTGAATTATTATGTACAAATCTGAAATCTTCCATTTTCTTTTTTCTATATTTTATTTAAAAATGTTTAACTCCTTCATTAACCTAGAGTTGACTGTGATACACATTAGGTAAACTTAATTTTTCCAAAGTGGTACCTGGCTATCATAAGACTACTTATTATAATTCCTCATTGTCTTGTTTTAAAACAAATTATTAAGCTTTTATTGATAGTAGGGCCTACCTTTGAAATCTGTATTGCACTGAATTAAAAAGAATTCTATTTTTGTGACTCAATAAAATCTGAGTTGTTGCTTTCCAATATATTCCATTATATGTTAGGGCTTGACTATAATTATTCCAGAACATTAAAAAAATTTCTAGTCCTTTTATTTTTCCAAATAAATTTTACAGAATTATTTTGTCAGCTTCAAAACTATGTTTAGTTTGTTGGCATTTTGATTAGAATTGGTTTAGACCAGTAAATTAAGTGGAAGAGCACACATGGTTATAATATCTGTATTTTCCAGTCAAGGAACATGACATTTCTGGAAAGAAGAATTGGCTATTTACTAATAAGAATGTTAGAAGACACAGCAGAGGAAACAATCTTTAAGCATGTGAAAGGTTACTGTATAGCTAATAATAAACAAATATATACCTGTTCTCAGTTTCACCTAAAGATAGGGCAAGAGAGACTGGGAGTTATTAAATAGTTTCTAAGTTATCCTCACAGTTGGGAAGATACATCATCTCTCTCAGAACAACTTGATGATGACAAGAACACTTGCTATGCTTTAAGTTATAGGCTTAACATGTACCATCATGTTTAATCCTTCAACAATTCTGAGTTAAGTACAAATTTCCAGGACTGAACTAAGAGACAGGATCAGGCAAGATGGTGTCCTGAAGTTTCTTTGCATAAGAGCTCTTACCCGTTTGTTCACAGAAATCTCATGCTGTTCTTCCCACTTCTTGTGTTCTGCCCTCACTAGTGCTTGATACTCTGCAAGCTCAGGTAGTTCTCCCAGCCATCGCTGACGAGCATTTTGCACAGCTATTTCTACCTGTAGGACATTGTAAGAGAAAGAGGTAAAGTGGAGTATAAAATTTCAAAAAGACCTCATTTTCCAACAGCAATTATGATTTCATGTGTATTTTACACTGTATATCACTACATAATAAAGGTAAACTGACTTCAAGTGTCTTACCTATCCCAAACAGTGGATTCTAAGCCTTTTGTTGTAAACTTCTCATAGCATCCCATACAAATGCCACACAGGAAGTGAGAATCTGTGATTGTTTGATGACTTGAGCTATCTTAGAAAGTGTTATACCAATTACCATTTCCAACAACTCCTATTTATCCTGGGAAAAAGGAGAAGGCCTGCTGGAGGGCTGCTTGGTACCAACTGCTGTCTAATGACTACACTCACCACCACCACCCTCCTGATTCCTCATGCTCTACACGTGTGCATGCGTGCGTGCACTGATATAGTTTAGAGCCCTACACCTGCAAACTTTCCTACTGTGGAGAATGAGTTTGTCCTAAAGAATGAGGGTGATAGCTCTAAAGGCAAAAAATTAAGGCTTGATTAATTATGAGGGTGATCTGGTTGTAAATCTGCCACCAGTTACCAGAAGATTTATTTGTTAAATAATTTTTCCTTATTCCTTTATTTTCAAATACACATAGATATGCGGATATATGTGTCTTTGTATATATATGTACATATAGACAAAAGCAGGGTTGATATAAGAAGCTGTATTTCTCGTTAAAAGTGCTAAATATGTCAATGTGTAAACTTTATGTACAAACTCTAAGGAGTTAAGAAATGGAGAAAATATAAAGCTCCTATAGAAATTTGTCTACTTAAAAAGTTATTATGAAACATTTCCTTTCTGCTGTATTATGCTATTTAAGATTAATAATTTTGTAAATACCAAAGCAGCACCTTTTTGTCTGTGGAACGTTTTCTTAACTCTGTCGAAACCCTTCAGTAAACATTTCGGTAAACTAACTGATTGAAGATATCCTTGCTACCATTACATATATTTGCCTATATTTCTAGACTTCAAGGGTGTCCTGTAAAATCATGGAGAACAGTGTTACAAATAAACGGAATTTCAAGTATTTATCAAAAGCAGAGTGTACTTTCAAAACCTTTATATTGAGAGCTATCTTAAGGGTTTATAATAAGTAATAAAATTTAAATAAAAATACATAATAGATGTATCAAAGACCAGGGAACTCTTGAGGCTAGAAACCCTGTCAGGTAGGTCTGTGAGGCCAAAACTTTTTCCAAAATAAGACACTATCTGTTTTGTTATTGCTGTTCTCTCATGCATTAAACAGCACAGTTCTCCAAAAGCTACATGCTGTGATCATGTCACTGTTCTGACAGTCAATGGAATGTGTGCTTGGGTATTCTTATTTTTTAAACATTTCTCAGATTAATTTTCCAATACTGTAAATATAACCCATACAAACAGAAGTTCTTTAGAGTCCCCAGTTTTTAAAATTGTAAAGAATATACAGGAAAACTGAGGGGTGACAGTTTTATAACAGAAATAGTATGAAGAAAAATTTAGAAATATGACAGATTTTCTATCCTAGAAATTCACAAAATCTTTATAAAGTTATGAATGAGTTTAATGGTAGCATTTCATGGGTTTTCATTAAGAGACAGGCAATTCCAATAAAGTCACTAGAATAAACCTGCCTATTACCTGTTTGGTAATATTTTCACAATATTTTAGTTCCAATTCCATTTCAAGTTTCTTCACAGCCTCCTTGATGGCTGTGTCCTTCTCTTGTTCTAAGTTTTGCTGGATCGTACGCTTCTGCTCCTCTATCATGATTGCCATCTCTTTCTTGGAAATAACATCACTGGTGGTTACTTGGTCAGTTTGGCTGCCACAATCGGAGGTCTTCTTTTTCATTGCCTTTATAGTTTGATCCAGCTTAGACTGCCACTCCTTTTCAAGCTGTTGAGTGAGTTTTTCTTTGATCTGTTTTCAGAAGAAAAATCAGAGAAAAATATTCAAATAAGTAAAAACTAGAATTAAAAGCTAGCCAGAAAAGCAACCACAGCTGTGTTTGAAAACCATCTAGATATTGTTGTAGTAATTATAAAAGGTTTAGAAATTTAGTCAATGAAAATACACTCTCAAGTAAAACTTGAGACTTACTCTTTGAACCTAACTACATGACAAAAATCACATGAAAGATTTAAGTATGTTGTAGAAAGTCAGACTATCTTGCTCTCAATATACAACCTTCTGGAATCTTTCATATTGCCACTACAAAGACGGCAGGATTAAAAAAAAAAATTTACAGTTAATGTGTTTTGCCATCAACACCATGCTATCCACAAAGGACTGAGTAAATCTAATTAACGAACCGAAAACTGAAAAATCTAAAGAACAGTTTTACTCACTTGAAAACCTTAGAATCTTATACGTTATAAAGTTAAATTTTACTAAGCAGGCTACATTTAAAAGGGAGGCAGTATTACTGGAAGAACATCTTAATGATTTTTCTCAGTGCAGTTGAACTAAACACAGTTTTAGGCAAAACTATGAAACAGCATAATTTGCTTTTCCCTTTTTCTGTTTACCACCTGGGTATCTGAGGCTCTCCAAATGTTTCCCTGGCTACGAGATCAATAGTAATTAATAACAATTTTGTAGATAGAAGAATCTGGTTGAGGCCAGGTGGAGTGGCTCATACCTGTAATCCCAGCACTTCAGGAGGGTGAGGTGGGCGAATCACCCGAGGTTAGGCATTCGATACCAGCCTGCCAACATGGCAAAACCCCATCTCTACTAAAAATATAAACATTAGCTGGGCATGGGGTAATAAATTATGTGTTTCTGAGACTGCCCATTACTTCTTTTAATCCATGTTATGGATTATTTGTTATAGATATTAGTCTAGAGTTATGATCATTTCACAATATGAAATCAGATCATGGTTTCATTTTGAGGAATCAAAGCAGTGCCTATAAAACTTGTTATATACTGAATTGGGGTGAAAAGTCAAGAGGTGGCTAAATTCTTAAAAACAAAACAAAAAAAACTGGTGTAGTAACTGCTAATAGCTCAATTCTGAAAGGTAAAGTGGGTGATTAGTAAGTGCCTAGTGAATAAAAATTACTTATCTGTTCAGGAAGAATTGTCTTCTGTAGTTAGTACTACATTTTTAAAATGTGGTAAACAGAAAGAAATTTTAATCCACACCTCTTTCTGTTCCTTATCCCAACGTGCTTTGGCTGAGATCACTTCATTTTCAACTTGCTGTTTAGTATCAGCTTCTTGATCTTTCAGCCACTTGCTCTTTTCCCTCATAAGTGTATCTTGGTACTTTTCTTCAAGTTCCACCTGCAGTTTGCTTACATATTCTTCTCTTTCCTCCAATAGCTGTCTCTTTAAACAAAATTCAAATAAGTATCTCTCTACACAGTAACAGTCTCCAAGTTAAAACATATGAACTTGTTGTACATGGCTTGGATAGCCAAAAAATCCCTCTAACTTCTAAAAATCACCTATCTAACTCATATTACAATTGTATAAATAAGCCTTAATGTGTAAAGGAATGGCATTATGAATGAAAATGTGGATCATCTTTGCCTTGTCTGCAAATTCATGACCTTGACTGATTACTATCCAACCTGAACGGTTCTAAGACTTTTTTCACCCTTTCTTTGAATGAGCCAGGTTAACGTGTGAGGAAAGCTCTGTGTGCTAAAAAAAAAGCTTTAAAACTTCGAATTGAGTTCCTACTTAACCTACAACCTGACTCAGCAAGTTTCAGACAGCAGTGTGTGAAACAAAAAAATACACCCTTTAACTCTTGGTGTTACCTGACTCATAAATTCTATATCCAGATTAAGTTCCCCACCTAAAGCTAAGCTGCAGTAAAATGGCTTAAGTTCTGTCAAGAAGAGCTACCCTAAAAGCGCCCTCACTTGTTCTAGAGTTTAATAAGATTCTCCCATTGCGTATGTGAAACATTTCCTTCAAAAAAAAAAGCGGGGGGGGGGGGAGGGTAGTATATTTTTGCCTACCTCTAAAGAATGTGAGATTAGACAGTCTCCTAAATATAAAGATGTTTCAGTTCTGACTGGCTTATACTACTAAGGGCTTATATAATTCTACAGTAAAAAACCAATGAATTCCCAGAGAGGGAAGAAATTAAACTTCTAATGTTTTAAGTACACTGGCCTTTTTAGGGTGAGGTAGGGGGAGGAGAATAACCAAAAAAGGGATAGCAAAAGGGAGTTTCAGGGTGATAAAACTGTTGTGTATCCTGAAAAACCTATACATGTGTTAAAAGTTTATAGAACTATATACCCAGTGGCAGGAGGAAGTCAATTTTACTGCATAACAATTTTAAATTTTTAAAGAAAAAAAATTTAACCTCTAGGTTTATTTTTTTGAAGGGCCAAATAGCAGTTTAACTTTTCTTCTTGCACTTGTGTACAAACATAAGCCAAAATATCAGTCAGTAGCAGCTATTAATTGCAAATGACCAATTATACGAGATCAAAAATTTTTCTTCAGATGGATTCTTGCTCTGTAGTCTACAGTGGAGTGCAGTGGCACAATCTCGGCTCACTGCAGCCTCTTCCCCCTGGGTTCCAGTGATTCTCCTGCCTCAGTCTCCTGGGTAGCTGGGACTATAGGTGTATGCAACCATGCCTGGCTAATTTTTGTATTTTTAGTAGAGATGGGGTTTCTCCCTGTTGGCCAGGCTGGTCAAATTTTACAGTCAAATTGATTCTATTAAAAGTATCAGAAAATATTCCTGAAAAGAATGATCCCTTTGAGAACATTGCTTTTATGTTCTTGCCTATATAAAGAATCGTACTAGATATTTCCCTATTTTAATTTTTAAAACATTACTGAAAGCTAAGTCCTCAATTTCAAGATAAGATCCTTTCTCACTTTTATACTGCCATACCTACCTAAAACAGTTCCCTTTAGAAGTTCTTTTTCCACTGGATGATATATATACGTGGCATGTTTTTCACCATGTTAATCTATTCAACAATAATCAAGATATTAAATAAACTGAATTCCTCACCTGCTCTTTACTATTCTTTTTCTGTGATAGTAATAGCTTGCTTTAATATAACTTATTCAAAAATCTCTGTATAGAACATTTATTCAAGCATTTCAAAATATTTTCTAATCTTGACGCAGATAGCTTTCAAACTGTGGTTTGCCGCTGGTCCAAAGTATGAAGGACAGTTAGGCCTGTGTCTGGGTGAGGCTCCAGGCCACGATAGGGAAGAAAAGAGGAGGTGTGACTGTTTACATGTGATCTGACTCCTGGACACTCTCCAAGCGTGACTCAGAAGAATCAGGCAGAGTTGGAGAATCTACTCTAGCCCCTCCAGCTTCCCTGAAGGAGATCATACGAAGACACTGAACTTGCTGTCCATATTCTCCATATCATCACTTTCCCTATCATGAGACCAACATTCAAATTCCTACTCTTCTCCCCAGAAGAATAAAATTACAATGAGATAGTGAGAGAGAAATGGATCCGAGGAAAAGGGCTCTGAAGGAATGCTCTGTGCAGTGCTCACAGAATGATACAGGGTGTCCTGAACAGTCAACACTGAACTTGTACTGTACCTTCTCTTGAGCCCGTTGCTCCTTTTCAACGGTTTTCCTGAGAGTCGATTCTAGGTTATCCTTCTCTCTGCATACTTCTAGGTAACATTCCTGCACAGCAGTCATCTCTTTATTCACCTTATCCAACTCAGACCTTGGATACACAAAAGCAGCAACTAAATGACCACAGAAAAATACAAGGGCTGCAAAAGAATTTTCCTCTAAATTATGGCATAGAGGTATGTAGTCGCTACAGCTTAAAAGGCAGCTAAACTCTTTATTCTCACCTCAGTTGCAAGTGAGTTCTCTCATAAACCTCAAAGAGTTGCTGCTTCTCCAAAGCATGCTTTGCTAATAGGCTTTCACGTATTTGAGTTTTCATGGCTTCATGGTGCTGCTGATAAGTCCTCTCACACCTAGAAACAGAGCAGAATCAAAGGCAATGCCCAGCCTCACTACTAACACCAAAATGAATTGGCTTTCTTCCTTCCTCCTCACCTCTTCCCTCTAATGCAAATTATAATTGAGGTCAGATTACTTTTCCCGAACTAAAAGTGGTAATACTTAATTAATAACTATCTTAATAGAATCTTCAAAATTTTCTTTATTCAAATGTTTCTAGAGAAAAATCAGAAACTTGGATGTGAGAATGCCCCAGTCCTTCAAATAGAGATAGTTATCTATGTTGGGGACTTTTACTTATAAAAAATTAATTGAAATAATTGAGAGTATGCCTCCAAAATTTCAAGTCATCTATTTTAAATACAAATACCAGCAGTCCCCAACTCACAAGTAAGTTATGTTCCAGAAGTCTGTTTCCAAGTTTATGATTTGGTATTTGGAAGACATATTCCCTCTCACAGACTGTTTTCTTTATAAAGAATAGTTTCCCAGGCTAGTATTTAAAAAAAACACTAAGCTATAATATTTCAGTGAACTACAGCTTCAATGATACTATAGAACCCAACCCACTACATAACATTGTTTCTATGGAAAATGTGTTCCAAATTCTTATTTCAAAAGCCAGGGACTCATCTCTGCCAATCCAAGATCTCAACAGGGTAGAATTCACTCAATCATTTTGAATCTTTTTGTCAATGGGGGGGAAGGACAGGGACTTAGAGGGGAAGGGTAACCAGGAGACAGTTGTCAGGCACCTATACAGACCTTACCTATCCACAGCTTCTTGTTTATCATGGTCAAAATCTTGTACCATTTGTCTCATTTGATTACATAAGTCTTGATTTGTATTTCTCAGTTTTTCTTCAGTTTCTTTAAGTTCCTAGACACAAAAGAATATAAGGGACTTAGAGAAAATAAGCATCATTCTCATTGACTAGTTTTATCTTATTTTAAAATATTTTCTGTGCTCTATCTCTGCCGTATAATAATATATGACATATTATTTTTATAATTCTACAAAAGAAAAAGTCTCTTCACGCTTTGATAAAAACATAGATTCATTTATTTGACAAGTAGTTTTTTTGACAGGACTAAATGTTTAAATTTTTATTTACTTTGAAATACATAAAACAAAAATATATAACCAGAGAAGTACTGGCTACCTGATGCCTTAAAATAATTCTCAGTATTCAATAATCTTCAGCAACCATCTAAAAAAGCAAAGTTTTACTTCTGGGTCAAGAGCTGGCTAAAGAAGAAAGAATATCTCTGTCAGCCATGCTACCAGAGAGAAAGAAAACTTGAACTACACTAACTTACCTTCCAGTGAAACTACTAACCAATAATCACTAGTAAAGGGAAATAACTGGAACTCACTGTCACCTACTAATATACTTGTCTACTAACTCACATTGCCTCTATATTTGCAAAAAGTCTATTATATCCTTTGTATTTACCAAGGAAATGAAAATTCTCATAAAATATAAAAAATATTTTTAATTACCTGATTTTGTTGTTGTAAAACTTGAATTTCATTTTTAAGCAGCAGAATATCATCTCTGACAGTATTAGGAGTAGAAGATTCAGGCCATAATTGATTCGTTGGTTTTTCTGAGGTATCTGTTTTAGTCTGAATGTTAAAAAGTCAAAAGTTTTTCAAACCTTAAAAATTTCAGAATATTCACTCTGAAATAATTCCATGCTTAGAGAAATTGCAAACAGTACAAATAATCTCCATATAGCTTTTATTCTTCTTTCCCTAATATAACTACAGCACAATGATCAAAACTAATAAATTCACATAGATGCAATACTATCAAGTAATCTACAGACCTTATACAAATGTCTCCAATATGCCCCAAATATCTGTTTTCTGGTCCAAGATCAAATCCATGATTCTGAGTGGCATTTAGCTGTCATGTTTCATTAATCTCCTCCAATCTAGGACAGCTCTTCAGTCTTTCAAACCCATGACGTTTTCTAAGAATACTAACCTGTTATTTTGTAGGATGTTCCTAAATTTGGATTTTTTGGGTTTATTAAAATCAGGTTATACATCTTTGCAATGCATGTCAAGAACTGATATGTGCTCTTTGCAGGAGACACATGATATCACTGTGTCTCACCACTGGTAATAATCAATTGAAGGCGCAGTCTGCCAGTCATCTCCATTGCAAAGCTATTATTTTTTGTCTTATAATAAATGATAAGTATCTTATAGGATACTTGAGAAGATGCAAATATTCTATGTTCTCCTACTAAGATCAAGTATTTATCCTATTTATGTATTCATTTATGCCAGCATTAACTCATGGACATATATTTTATTCAATAAATACCACTTTTAAGACTCACGATAGACTTTGGTAAATTGCTTTCCAGAAATGCCATACAAATGTATACTGTCAGGTAGTACATGGGTCTGCCCATCTCTCTTCACCTCCAATGGCAGTGACTATCTTTAAATAAATATCTTTGATGGGAAAAGAATATCTAACAATAGCTTTCATTTGTATTTGTGTTACCACCAAAGTGCAACCTCTTAGATACCTTCATTGTCCATTTGTTTTTCCATCTTCCCAGATTTATCTGTTTTTATAACTTTGCATATTTTCCTCTTACTGTTTTCCTTATCTACTTTTCTGAGTTCTTTATTGGTTGATGGGGGTTACAAAGATTTAAAATAGATATATAATCCATTTCACTTGTTGGTTTATGTACCTGGACTCTGAGCTCTTTGCTACAACACAGTGGCTCACCCCTGTAATCCTAACACTTTGGAAGGTGGAGGCAGGCAGATCACTTGAGCCCAGGGCTGAAGTAACTTTGAGGAAAATCAGAGTTTAGATGTAGACTACCAAGAATTCACTATGGCAATAGAGTTGCTGGACAACAAGAATATTCAAAGATGAGATAGTCCTTCAGTCTACTGATCAACCAGACTACAAAGAGAAAGGGAAAGGCTAAAAAAACAGCACAATGCATGACCACTATCAACTGCTACACATGATAAAGTGTATCTGTATAGCAAATGCCATTAGCAACTTTAATATAGAGCAAAGAAGGCACCAAGATACCTGATCTAAGGTTCAGACTCAAAATCAGGTTTCTATTCCACTAAATCTTAGAGCACTCCCACCAAAATGCTTAAACTAATAAACTCTAATGTCCTAATACAAATTGAGAAACAAGCTTTCATTCCTATCCTTTTAAAGGGCAATAATGAAAACAGCTTGATTTAAAGATGTTAATGTTGCGGGGGGTGGGGTTTGATCTCATTTGTTGTTAACATTAAAATATGTTTCAGTCATCAAATATAGTTACTCAGAAGAGGGAATCAGGCTGGAAAGGATTTTGATAGTAAAAACACTGTTATTTCCAAAATGTAAATTAGCCACAATTAAAATTCCACAATAATTAGCACAGTAGAACATATATACTTTAGCAGAGCTGTTTTCATGAACACAACTCCTAGTTTAAAGAATAGGAGACAAACAGTACTAAAGAAGGAGGTAAACAGTTATCTCCACCCAGGAGGAAAAGGAGTACACTACCCACATTCCTTTTCCCTCTTCTTTTCTTCTTCTTAGTTATTAGGTCTTTTATATATTATTTTCTATTGGGAGTATAGATGAGTGAGAATTTGTGAAATATGGAAGGGTAAAAAAGCCATCTATAAAGCAGAGCAGTCGTAAAGATCTCTGTGATAGCATGATCTTGCGGAAATATCTTTGACTTACTTATTAGTCATGTGTTTAGTTTCAATTTGTCTAAAATGGGCTCTATAAACTCAAAAGTGTCACAAAGTGCTCCAGCTTCATTTTCCTAACTCAAGAATACAGAGGTGGATTTCAATGACTGATATAACCAGATTTTGTGCCTTTTCCGTCTGTACCACCATCACTATAAAATTAATGTCCTTATGTAGAATGACTTTTGTTATAAGAACATGGGCCAGGAAAATATCATAGACAAAATGCTAAAGGATTTCTATGGGGGATTTATTTTAACTAGAATTTACAGCACTGTTGGTGAAAGCCAATCTTAAAGAAATGCAGACACCTTGTTACAGAGAATACTTCTTTTAATTTATGGTAAAGGAATTTTACCTAATTGGTCTCTCATTTACTAGGTGCCAAGAGTAACCAGAAAAAACATAAAGATGCTTTTCAACTTACAATGGGTTTATCTCCTAATAAACCCATTGTAAGTATTATTATACTTATAATAGGCTTATAAGGAGATAAACAATGGGTTTATCTCCTAATAAATCAAAGATTATCATCTTTGCCATGTCTCCATATACAAGATATACCCATTGTTTTTCTCCTAATAAACCCATTATAAGTTGAAAATATCATTAAGTCAAAAATACATTTAATGTATCTAACCTATTAAAATCATAGCTTAGCCTGGCCTAACTTAAACATGCTCAGAACACTTATAGTAGCCTACAGTTGGGTAATATCATCTAATGCAAAGCTTCTTTTACAATAAACTGTTGAATATCTCATGGAATTTATTGAACACTGTACTGAAAGTGAAAAACAACTGTTTTACAGGTATTCGAAGTATGGTTGCTACTGAATGCATATAATGTTCCCACCACTGTAAAGTCTAAAAATTGTAAGTCAAACCAACCCAAGTCAGGGACTGTGAGTATCCCTTTACACGGCATTTCCTTTTTTAAACTTTCCTTCCAAAAATGTCAAATAATACCCTGAAAGTCAAAGGCTTATTAATTTTAAAAAGTGTAAAAGGGTTGGATATGATGGTTCACACCTGTAATCCAACACCTTGAGAGGTTAAGGTAGGAGGATTGCTTGAGCCCAGGAGTTTGAGACCAGCCTGTCTCTACAAAAGCACTGTGGGACCCTGTCTCTATAAAAAATTTAAAAATTAGCCAGGCATACCGCCATGTGCCTGTGGTCCCAGCTACTCAGGAGGCTGAGGTGGGAGCATCGCTTTAGCCTGGGAGATTGAGGCTGCAGGGAGCCATGTTTCCACCACTGCCCTCTAGCCTGGGAGAGCCCTGTCTCAAAAAAAAATAAAAAAGCATAAAAGTTCTCTTTATTGAGTCTTTTAAAAGTGGCCTCTTAACTCTACAGGCTTTACAAACCTCAGCCTCGATGCTTTTTTCATCCTTCTTCACTTGTTGGAGATCTTCAATTTTCTTCTGACAGTCTTTGAGATCATTTTGTAACTGAGTCACCAGACGACGCTTCATTGAGTTGCTACCCAGCAAACGCTGTACTTCTGCCTTTAACTTCAGAATGAACTCATCTTTTGAAAGCTCTTCATTTGGGTATTCTTGTTGCACAATGCTAACGGAGAAATTGTGATTTTTAAGATTAAATCAAGTAATAAAGATGGTTATCCCTCAAAAGCACTGACCACAGTGGTGAACATGTTTCTCACCTATAGAATTATATACGAGTATTTCAAAACAATTTTAAATGTTATCATACACAAGGATTATCACCTTTGCCATGTCTCCATACACAGAAATACATTTATTCATAGGAAGAACCTTCTCAAGCTTAGTCCTCCTGTCTCATGGTAAGTAGCCTAGAAATGTGAACTTTGACTTAATTTACATTTGTGTTCTTGGAAAAGTGCATGCTGTATATACATGCCCTTTATGACTATAAAGAAACAACATGAGAGTAGCGACACACTCTGCGTCCTCGCTTCACCAGGAAACTGCTAAAGTTCCTGGGGAAGCAAAGTAGAATTTTTCATAAGAACAAAATGGATGGAGAGGAGAAAACCTATGGTGGCTGTGAAGGACCCGATGCCATGTATGTCAAATTGATATCATCTGATGGCCATGAATTTATTGTAAAAAGAGAACATGCATTAACATCAGGCACAATAAAAGCCATGTTGAGTGGCCCAGGTCAATTTGCTGAGAACGAATCCAATGAGGTCAATTTTAGAGAGATACCTTCACATGTGCTATCAAAAGTATGCATGTATTTTATGTACAAGGTTCGCTACACTAACAGCTCCACTGAGATTCCTGAATTCCCAATTGCACCTGAAATTGCACTAGAACTGCTGATGGCTGCGAACTTCCTAGATTGTTAAATAAAGTAAATTATAATAAACTGTTAACTCTTTTCAGTATTTAATACCTGTAGATCAGTTAGTAATTTTTTCTTATATAGCATGTTGCCTGTATGCAGTTGAACTGTATAAAGTTCAGTGCAAAGCCGATTATCTTCTGTTTTTTGCATAGCAATCAAAGTTGGAATTCGTTTGCTACATCAACAAATTAAGGACATTTTCACAAACTGAGAAATAAACAAATATGCCAATTAAAAAAAAAAAAAAAAGAAACAACATGAATATTAAGGAAGAAAAGAATATGAAACACTAGCCATCTTAACCAACAATTTCGGTTATTTTTCTCAACTTACTAAAACACAAGTCTGGGTGAATATCTGAGTAACTAGAAAAACACAAAAATAAAACCATGCTAATTTAAACCCAATTATAGTTTCATTAAATTTAAAGATTGGGATGAGATTATCTGCTTCCTTGACCTAATGAATTAATAAGACTAGCTTTATCTGCCTCCTTAAAAAACTAGCAAACCAAATAAAGTAGATAAAATAATAGTATTCAATCACTGGACAATAGGCAGCACAGGACAGTGATTCCCAAGAAAAGGAAAACAAATGAGGTGAGCTCTAAGATTACCCGAGCTTTCTGCCTGGAGAGTGTCCAGGCCATAGCACAGAGAGATGAAACCCAGAGTCCACTTATCTCACTGAGTTGCAGAGAAAGAATTCAGTCTGGGGAGGTCAGGGTGGCTAGAATATGAAGGGGAGAAATATGGAGGAAAAAGCAGCTGCACAGAAAAAGAGCTCTGGAGATCTGTATGTGTATGTGTGGCTAGGGAAAGAACACAGGAAATGAATAAGGTTAGGAATATGCTGTGTTTCAATAAGCCATAATGCAAAGACCTCCTAATTTACAGGGCATCAAATACTACCTTCGTAGTGGGGCTAAATTAGCCCCAGATTAAAGCCTTTTCTAAATGTGATCTATTAAAGCCTATAAAGAAAGCCTTGAAAGGATCTAACTGATTCCAAGTAACTTGTGTGTCACAGAAAAAAAGTACAACATATTTTTAAAAATACAATAATATCCAGCATCCAAAACAAAATTCACAATGTCTAGCATTCAATCAAAATTTATCAGGCATACAAAGAAGTAGGAAAAAAAATATAAACCATACCAAGAGAAAAGCCAATCAATAGAAACTAACCCATCAATGACACAGACAATAGAATTAATATATGTCACATGAACTAGAAGGTTAAGGAAGATACAAACATGAGGAGAAAAATGGAAGATATAGAAAATACCCAAATTAAACTTACAGAAAAAATAATATCTGAAATGTAAAGTATACTGGATGAGATTAACAGCATATTTAAAACTGCAGAAGAAAAGATTAGTGAACATCTAGATCTAGCAATAAAGCTATAAAGTTAAAAACAAAGAGAAAAAAAAGACTGAAACAGAAATACACAGAACATATTACATTTTCCAACATGTGTAACTGAAGTCCCAGAAGAGGAGAAGATTGAAAACATATTTGAAAAAATGGCCAAATTTTTCCTAATTTGATGAGAATGAAAACCCCACAAAACCCAGAAGTTTGGTGAATCTCAAACAGAAGAAACACAAAGGAAACCAGCATACATCACACCAATGTCAGACTGCTGAAGCCCAGTGATAAAAACAGAGTGTATGAAGACTCCTGGAGAGAAGAGAACCAGAGAAATTAATCCTGAATTCTGTGTATAAATTTGTAAAAGCCTCACTCTAAGCCCTGAACTATGCATGTACAGGACAACCCTCCAACCAGCATATCAAATATTTGAAAAACTTAACTGAAATTTAAACCACATATTGAAGTCTCACAATGACTAACCCCTGAGGGGTGCATACACAGGTTAGATTCAAATCAATGTGGCAAAGGCTTGGAGAATGCAGCTGAGCTTTAAAACAGCCATACAGATTCACAATGTCTAGTATACACTCTAAAATTACTTGACTTGCAACAAACCAGAAAAATGTGACCAATTCTTAAAAGAAAAGATAATCAACAAATGGTCCAAATGCTGGAACTATCACAAAAAGAGTTTTAAAAGTTTAAAGTAGCTATTATATCTGTTTTATTAAGTAAAGAAAAAGATACTTGGAGTGAAAAAACAAGAATTCTCAGCAGAGAAATAAAAATGATACAAGAACAAAATAGAAATGTTATTAAACAAAAAAAGTTGAAAAACAAAACACACACACACACATACACACACACACACACCCCTTCACTAGATAGGCTCAGTAGAGATGACCAAAAAAAAAAGTAAACTTGAAATTAGTCCAGTAGCAATTATCCAAAATAAAAAGGGAAAAACTATAGAAAAAAATGAATAGAGGCTCAGGAAACTGTAGTATAATATCAAAAAACATACATGTAACTGGAGACCCAAAAGGAGAGAACAAAGACACAGGGACGGAAAAGATATTTAAGGAAATTAATGGCTGACATTTTCACAAACTTAGTAAAAGACATAATAAATTTACATATTCAAGAAACTCAGACAACCCCAAGTGAGATAAACTAAAAGAAAAACACACCTAAACATATCATAATCAAAGTTTCAAAAACTAAATATAAAGAAAATAATTCTTAAAACAGCAAGAGAAAAAAACTATACATTACCGACAGGAACAATACAAATAACAATGAATTGATTCTCAGACATTGAGTCGAGAGAGAATGGACCAATGTAGCTTTAATGTGCTGTAACAGAACAATTAGTCAAGAATTGTATAATCAAATATAAGTATATTTTCATAAAAGGAAACAGACTCTGTCAGCGGCGGACATGCTTAAGAAGAAATGGTAAAGAAAATTATTCGAGATAATGGGAAATTATGTCCAGTGTAGGGAAATCTCTATAGTGAAAACATTATCCAGCCTAACATTGTGGCATGTGCCTGTAGTCCCAGCTACTCAGGAGGCTGTTGCAGGGGGACCACTTGAGCCTAGGAGTTCAAGGACATAGTGTTCTATGATCTTGCCTGTGAACATTTACTGTACTCCAGCTGGAAGAACACAGCAAGATACTGTTTTCAGAAAGAAAAAAAAAATCAGCATTGCAACAGCAATTATCTAAAATAAAAATAAAAACATTTTCTAAAAATTACTTTTAAAAAATCACAAAACTTTACAAGAATAATTAAAGACCTAAATAAATGGAGAGCATACATATGGAGAAATTGGAAAGCTCAATTTATTAAGGGAGCATTCATGTCAGTGCTCCCTAAATTGGCCAATAGATTTAAGTAAACTTTCATCAGACATTTTAGTGGAAATTGACGGGCTAATTGTAAAATTTAGTTTGCAATGCAAAGGACTTAGTATAGCCATAACAGGTTTGAAAACAATAAAGTTGAAGGATAACTTGGGATAGTTATGCAATCCTTTCCAAGACTTACTATAAAGCTATAGTATCGAGATTGCTTAGTACTAGCAAAAAAAAATTTTTTTTAAATCAACAGAACAGAATGGAGAGTACAGAAATAGGCCCACATATGTATGGTCAATTAATTAATTATTAACAAAAATATGAAGGCAATTCAACATGGAAAGAAAAAATTTTCTGACAAATGGTGTTAGAGCAACTGGATATGGGTATTGAAAAGAATGAACATCAATCCTTAGCTCATGTCATACTAAGAAACTAACTGAACATAATAAGACAATTAAAAAAAAAATGGGCAAAGCATTTCAGCACAACACTTGACCAATATATCCAAATGGTAACTAAGCATATCAGAGAAAAAAGAAAAAGCAAAGTGCATCAATAGATGTTTAACATCACCAGTAATTATGTAAAGACAAATTAAAATCACAATGAGATATCACTACACACAAACTAGAAGTGCACAATTTAAAAAGATTGACACTAATTACCACACTTAAACAATGATGTGGAACAATTTGAACTTTTATACATTGCTGCTGAGACTGCAATAGTAGTCACTTTGAAAAAGAGCATGTATACTACTGGTATCTAAATACTGCTCCTCTAACGTAACTATTAAGAGAAAGTATCTTACAGCATAAGTGGAAAGGGAGAGGTAAAATCTCCATTAGCAGATAATATAATTATATCTTTAAAAAAACCCAAAAATATAATGGAAAAACTATTACAAACAATGTAAGAATTAGGAAGACAACAGGTTATAACATAAAATACAGAAATCTACACAAATGATACCCAGTTAGAACAATGGAAAAGAATGTCCCATTTACTTTACAAAAATTAAATATGTAAGCATCAATTTTATAAGAATTGCACAAAACCTGGCCGGGCATGGAGGGCCACACCTGTAATCCCAACACTTTGGGTGGCCAAGTCAGGTGGATCACTTGAGGTAAGGAGTTCGAGACCAGGCTGGCCAACATGGCAAAACCCCAAAAACTAGCCAGGCATGGTGGCCTGTGCCTGCAGTCCCATCTACTTGGGAGGCTGAGACACAAGAATTGTTTGAATGTGGGAGGGAGAGGTTGCAGTGAGCCAAGACTATATCACTGCACTCCAGCCTGGGCAAGAGAGTGAGACTCTGTCTCAAAAAAAAAAGCACAAAAATTAAAATATGAAAAATTCCAAAACACTCTTGAAAGACACAAAATAGTTTAAGCAAATGCAAAGATATGCTATATTCTTGGATAAGAAAATTCAACACCATAAAAATGTCAATTGTCCCTATGGAAATGTATATATTTAATGTGATCCTAATAAAAATATTATTGAAAATTTTTCCTGGAACAGAAAAAGTTGATCATGAAATCCATTTGGAAATGTAAACATAAATAAGCTAGAATAATCAGGAAAACCCTAACAAGAACAGTAATTCCATACAGATATACAATGAAAATATAAGCCAAAGCTTCCAGCAAAAGACTAATATCCAGAATCTAGCAGTAACTCAAACAAATTAGCAAGAGAAAAACAATCCCACCAAAAGTGGGCACATGACACAAATAGACTTTTCTCAAAAGAAGATACACAAATGGCCAAGAAACATATGCAAAGATGTTTAAATCATTAGCCATCAAATCAAAACCACATCATTGGCAAGTCAAAACCACAATGAGATACCATTTCATCCGTTAGGAGAGGCATAATTTTTTTTAAGATGAAATGTAAGTATTGGTGAGGATATAAAAAAAATTTGAACTGTTACACATTCCTGATGAGAATGTAAAATGGTGAGGACATTCTGGGAAAG